CAGCCCCGCCCCGCCACAATTTCGTCATTCCTAGCGCACAAAAGGTCCCCTCGACTAAGGCGCCACTGCCACAGGCACGAGGAACGGCTGCGGCTGCAGAATGTTCCGCGACAGTCCGCGCCGCAGCCAGCGCTGGAAGAAGAGGCACTTCAGGGAGTAAAAGTGGAAGAATACAAGCCAAGCGTTGTTTATAATCTTGTACCATATTTCGGTCGTGGAATTTGTCGCATCTGTCGTCCCTCAGTAAAGCGAGGAAGATGTTAAGCCATATAAGACATCTAGCGAAACAGGTTTTGCGATCTGCTATTAATCCGCGAGTGTCGTTGCACCACCGTTTCTTAGTTGGTTAAAGTAAAAACGGCACACTCTTGGTAACAAATTTCCAGTGACGATCGTTCAAAATCCTCGTTCAGTACACGTCGTGTTTTGCATCAAAACACAGATTTTACGTCGTGTTTTGCGTTGCGCTGGGGCGTAGTTGCGTACACAATAGACTCCGAACAGTGTCTGCCGCAAGCGCCTAGCCTCGATGCCAAGCTGAGCTCCCCGCCACGCCCCACTACACCACGCACGCCACGCTCCGCCACGCCGAAACGAGAGCTCCGGAGATGCAAACGGTTCTGGTGACGCCACCCTGGCTCCAGAAGGGGTGCTGTCCCTCCCCAACAACTCCGCTCCCGCTCCCGCCCTTGTCCCACATGCTTAGTGGTCCGGGACGGGCTGGGACTGCTCAGACAGCGTACGTCAAAACTGTGTGTACGAAGCATCCCTCTCATTATCCAGCCCCTCCACAGCCCCCTCCCCACCTCTCCTCTGTCTGACTGTCCACCCCGTCAACGGCCCCCTCCACCTCCACCCGCAGCCCCCATGCATCATGTGGTCGGACCGCAGACCCTGGCTGCTGCTCAGCTCCGAGTTTGTTGTGACCGGAAGCAGAGATGAAACTAGAGAGAACAGCCATCTTCGTCGTCCCGACCAGAGCCACAAGGGCCTGAGTCCCACTGAGCTACTGCTCCTTCCCTTCCTCTCTCTCTCTCTCTCCAGGGCGAGGGGTGGTGATGAAGTTCTCTCTATGCGAATGCGGTCTGCACTGGACTAGACCCGCAGAGTGGAGGCAGCGGGAGAGAGAGGGCAGGAGAGAGAGAGAGAGAGAGAGAGAGAGAGAGAGAGAGAGAGAGAGAGAGAGAGAGAG